TCCTCTTGTTCAAATGTCCATGTCTTATCTCCTGATAAATAGTGACTAATTTTATTAATAAGGAAAATATACTCACAAAATAATTGTATAACAGGCATAAGTAACCATAATCCAAACAGGGTTACAGGTAAATCAAACAGGGGGGGGGGGGGGGATGAAGGCTAAACTGCTGTAATACTAACACACAGTGGCTGAATATCTCCTTGCCATGGGAACTCTGTCATACTGAAGTTTCTATCTGCCAAACCCAGCTCTGATGAAGAAGGGAGCACCCTTCGAAACGCGTTAGCCTTCATGCCCCCCCCCCTGTTTGATTTACCTGTAACCCTGTTTGGATTATGGTTACTTATGCCTGTTATACAATCATTTTGTGAGTATAGTTCCTTATTAATAAAATTAGTCACTATTTATTGAGGTAATGCGCAAGGTTTGTGCGCTCTCTTTCATCTTCCTCTACAGTTTTATTAAGCTTCCCCAGCTTCATGATAGAGCTGCACAACCTCTGATCACCAGCGGATGAACACACAACACGCTGCTTGTCACTAACGCCTGTTTGATCTGAGTCCTTGAGTGCAGGAGATAATGGATCTTTGGTGACTTATCTCCTGATAAGACAGACTGAACCTGTAGCCACATACACATGCTCAGTTTAGTGTGTATTGCTAGAGAGGTTTTTCTTTTCTGGGAGAGTGCATGTGATCAGCACAGGGCCAATCAACACTGTACAGGCAGAGGTCAGGGGTTTTGCATCCTCCTAGAGCAGAAAGAAAATGCCTGCTACAAGCTTTAACCAGTGCTCTGCTGAAGTCACAAGACTGTTCTAACTGCTGATGAGAAAAATGTATTTTGCAGTTTATATTTACTAAAATAATTGCACTTCCATATTCTGTGTACTGCGAGAGACCAGATATAGTGAATGCAGGGTCCTGGGTTAAGTAACACTTTAAAAGTATTTTATTTCCAATAAAACAGATTCAATTGCACTCATTTATACAGGGTGCCCAATCGCACCTGGATATACAGTGTGTACATAAGATACAGCAATCCTGTACAATACCACTCAATTTCCGAACGTCAGGACATCATCAAAAGGTTCCGCCCCTATGCGTTTCGTCCCCCCCCCCCCACACATGACTTTTTCAGGGAGATTGTCAATGATGTTATAAAAAGGACTTTATGTTACATTTTATCACTTTCACTGTTTTTCATTGGATTATGTTTGAGGGGTTGATATTACACCCAATAGCGCTGCACAGTGTATTGTGATTTTTAAAATCTGTGCAAGTATCAAAACATGTAAGATAAAATGCCATGATAATAAAATGATAATACTGTTAAGCCTATAATAACTATAATAAACATACTATAGAGGATGGTTATTAGTGTAGAGTAAGTAATATAACTTGTTGCTGGCAAGTCCCACAAACCTGAGGCAATGCTGATGTAAGGAGAAAGGGAACAGTGTACAATCCACTATGCAAATTAGTATTTTATGGAATAATTCATGTCAAAGAAAAAATTCACCTGACTTTACAAGTATTTAAATAAAGGGGAATTAAACCACCAAATGGGTTCCAAGACACAGACTTGGCTCGCACATCTCTAATAATGAGGTGCAGTAAATGAAAAGATCAGCGCATAGGACATGTCACCAACTTCCATTACATCGCACTCCAAGGAGCTTCAAAGATCCTTAAAGCAGAACTAAACACTTCTATCGGTTTCATCCAAGGAAACTGATCTTCAGCTGCCATGAAGCTGCACGTGATCAGCTAAGACACCAGCCATTTGATGGTTTGACAGTTTGGCAAATGTGACAGGCACGTGCCTGGAATGTAACTGTTTTTTGAAACTGTTAAATCGATGAGTTTAGTTCAGCTTCATACACTAGTAGATTTTTTTTGTACTAAAATTCTGGGTACATTTGATGGCTGGATGAATGTATTCAACATTTCATTTGTTCTTAACATTTGATTTTGGAATGAATGTAAGCTCCCAAACCAAAATCACACTCACTGTTAGAAATGCGTTAATTCAAGAAAACATTTCCATCCTGCCCATCACTGTGTTTGAAAATGATCGGTGATTTGACCCCATTAACCTATATAAAATTGAATGAGTGAAAATTTTCAAACAAAATTTTAGTGGTGTATGGCCAGCTTTACACTTAGGGTCCATTCACACTAGGGCTTTTCAGATTGCGGGCGGAATTGCCGTGATTCTGCCTGTGATTTGAAAATGCGCTGTGAAAACGCGCGTTCGCATGTTCCGGTGCTATTGTCAGGAGTCAAACATGCCACAATCACGCAAACAAAATCACGAGATGAGCAACACCAAAAAATAGTTTCAGAACCTTTTTTGGGCATTGAGTATCCCTTTGTTTGCACAATTGCAGCACATTTGTTGTGCGGAAAACTGCTGCGATCTCGGCAAAATTGTCCCACACATTGATATGAATGGCACCTGAACAGCATGTTTTCAAATCACGGGCAGAATCGCAGCAATTTTGCCCACGATTTGAAATGCCCTAGTGTGAATGGAGCCTTAAGGGACTGACCCAGGTAAGTACAGGCTGCTTAACATTAGTTCATTTTAAAATGAACTGTATATGGTGCAGTCTGTCACTAGGATTAACACATCCGTTTGTGTTTTTGTTCCCCCATAACCAGGAGTGGACTGATAACTCATGGGACCCCCGGGCAATAGGGGATCATGGGGCCCCTGTGTCCTTGCCCAAACTCAAAAAAGCCTATGAAAAAGGTACCAGGGGCATCTCATGGGGCCCCCTACTGACCCCGGCTCTCGGGCAGTGCCCGAGTTTCAAAATGGTCAGTCCGCCCCTGCCCATAACATAGATTTAATATTTGTTGATCTTGCAAAAGTGTTGGCTTACTTTAATGTGTTTGTCTTTTATGTAAAGTCCATTTAAGACTACATGTCTACAGAACAACAACGATACTGTGCAATTTCTGAACAGCATTGTCACCCTATTACAGGAAGTGGAAATGTAACAGATCCACTGGCAGGATCAACAGGTAATAAATCTATACTACAAGGGTACTACAAAAAACAAAACACTGCAACGCATTTTTCAGGGGGCAGCACTGCCCCCTGGAAGAAGAGACAGAAGAAGAAGAGGAAGAAGAGACACATGCGGCATGGGGACCGGGTGGGATCCAAGAGAGGCTGTGGGCTCCTTGATGGTGTATGCAGAGCTTGACTCTTATTCCAAGGGATGTCTGGTGCTGTGAAGTTGAGTATCTTTCTCTCTCTCGCTAGGGGGTGGGATGGGGTTTGGGGTGGCTGGTGTATGGAGGGCTGTGGTAGTGGAAGGCTCTCTTGGGTGGGGGGGTGTTGTTGGTTGGTGTCCAGGCTCTCTCTGTGGGAGGGCATCTGATTTTTGTGTTGCCTAGGGCAGCACAAAACCTAAATACACTACTGGTTAACATGTGGGGCAATCAAAGGGTTAACTGTGTGCTGTGTGCGTGCACGCTTTCAACTGTAAGCACACTGCTTTGTATGGCTGTGCTATCCATACAAAACAGTGTGCAGGAGCTGACAGGGGAGAGAACTGTCCCCCGTCAGTAATGCTCCTCGCTCACCGGGTGCCAGCGAGCAAGTGCCGGCTGAGACCCGGTGATTGACAGCCGAGGCCACAAACAGCATCACGTATACATACGTGATTATGTGCACCCGTGCCACACTGTAGCAGTATTACTGCTATAGAGCAGACTGGAAGTGATTTATTCGTTGTTTTTCCTCAATGAAGATATTTAATCCCATTATTTGTGCCATTGGAAGCTCTCTATAGTGTAAGGTTTGCTTTTTCTACATCCGCTCATTATAATCCTATTCCGCAATGTCACTGTTACTATTATATCAGATGTGAATTTTTATGAAGCACAGAAATAACACACTCAATATTTACTGTGTATTCCAAAAAAGGTCACTGCTCGGGTCCACGAAACCCTAGGCTTCTTCTTGCCTCCTTTCCACATAGTCATCTGATGGGTGTGATAGATGCTAAGGGCCATAAATGCTAAATGTCTCTGCAGGATCCTTCATAAAGATCCACCTACAAGCCACCTGAGGATTACATTTATAGAGCGACCCCCCGCAGACTCAAATCATCTCTATCTTTCAGTTCATAATCTGTCCACTGCATGAAAGCAGGCAATTAATAACTGTCCTCATAAGGGGCAATGAGGTCATTCTCAAAGCTCAGGAACCTGGAGTGTGATTAATTCTGATACAGAGGGCTGCCTGCTTCGATATGCTGACAGTGTTATATCACTAGGTACTTCATCACCGAGGCTAGGTCAGACTTTCTCAGCATTAATATAAAATGTGCTCCTTTGTAACAGCTAATATTTACCAAGTACCTCCTGGAGATCATCGGTTTATCTCAGTTGACCCCTAAAGGGAGAACATTTATTGTCAGTGTCTAAAATGTGAACCAACATTCTTTAAAAATACAAATGTTCAATTAACTTATGTTCTACGTCCTTAGCATAAAATTTAGTTGCTACATATTTAACCAATTGTCCTCCTGAGGATTTACCCCTCTTCCTGACCAGGCCATTTTTTTTTTTGCGTTACGGCACTGCGTTATTTTAACTGATAATTACGCGGCCAGGCAGCTATAGTCTTTGTAAACACAAAAATGGCTAGAACCACTCCACTTTAGCCACTTGCCCTCCAGAGGATTTACCCCCTTTCCTGACCAGGCCATTTTTTGCGTTACAGCGCTGCGTTATTTTAACTGACAATTACGGGGTCATGCAACCAAATGAAATGTATGTCCTTTTTTTCCCCACGAATAGCTTTCTTTCAGTGGTATTTGGTGCGTTTTTTATTTTTTGTGCTAGACAGTTTTGAGAAAAAAACAATATTTTTGACTTTTTGCTATTAAACATGTAAAGTAAAAAAAATTGTAAAAATCTAATTTCGTCAAAAATTTAGGCCAAAATGTATTCTGCGACATGTCTTTGCTAAAAAAAAAAAATCCCAATATGTGTAAATTAATTGGTTTATGTGAAAGTTATAGCGTTTACAAATGGCGGTATATATGTACTGGGACTTTTTTTTTTTATTTTTACTAGTAATGGCGGCGATCAGCGGGAATGCGGGAATGCAGCGGGCGTGTACTCACTTTTGTTGCCAGTGGTTTAGATATTAATGGCTGCAGGGTCGGACTGACCATTTGAGCACTCAGGCACTGCCCGAGGGCCCGGGGTCAGTAGGGGGCCCCGTGAGATGCCCCTGGTACTTTTCATAGGCTTTTTTTGGGTATAGTTTGAGTGTGGGCAAGTACACAGGGGCCCCATGATCTTCTATTGCCCGGGGGCCCCATGAGTTGTCAGTCTGCCCCTGAATGGCTGTGTGTTGAGTTATTTTGAGGGGACAGCAAATTTACACTGTTATACAAGCTGTACACTCACTACGTCACATTGTAGTAAAGTGTCATTTCTTCAGTGTTGTCACATGAAAAGAGAGGATGAAATATTTACAAAAATGTGAGGGATGTACTCACGTCCGTGAGATGCTGTATACTGGATTTTGGTTTTTTTTACTAGTAATGGCGGCGATCAGAGACTTATAGTGGAGCTGTGGGACTGTGCTGGGTATTCTGACACTGGGGGAACTGACTTGGTGTGACTGATATCCCCTGTGACACCAATACAGTGATCAGTGCTAATAAAAAGCACTGACACTGTACTAATGGTACTGGGCAGGAAAGGGTTAACATGTGGGGCGATCAAAGGGTTAACTGTGTGCTAAGTGCTGTTTTGCATACTGGGCTGTGTTTGTGCTTCACTGCAAGCATCTATACACACACCCACACACGTGATTTTGTGCAGCCCTGCTGCCCTGTAGCAGTAGTTCTGCTATAGTGTGGTCAGGAAGTAGTTAAAAGTCAGCAGCTATAGTTTTTGTAAGCACAAAAATGGCTGGAACCACTCCGCTTTAGCCACTTGCCCTCCAGAGGATTTACCCCCCTTCCTAACCAGGCAATGTTTTGCGATATGGCGCTGCGTTACTGTAACTGACAATTGCGCGGTCATGCAACACTGCACCCAAATTAAATTTACATCCTTTTTTCCCCCACGAATAGAGCTTTCTTCTGGTGGTTTTTGATCGTCTCTCTGCGTTTTTTTTTGCGCTATAAACAAAAAAAGACCGACAAGAAAAATATTTTTGACTTTTTGCTATTAAGCATGTCTAGTAAAAAAATGTTTAATTCAAATGTTGTCATAAATTTAGGCCAAAATGTATTCTGCGACATGTCTTTGCTAAAAAAAATCCCAATATTTGTAAGTTAATTGGTTTACATGAAAGTTATAGCATCTACAAATGGCGGTATAGATACTGGGAATTTTTTTTTTTTTACTAGTAATGGCGGCGATCAGCAACTTATAGCAGTGGGACATCTGACACTGGGGTGAACTGACTTGGTGTGACTGACATCCCCAGTGACAACAATACAGTGATCAGTGCTAATAAAAAGCACTGACACTGTACTAAAGGCACTTGGCAGGAAGGGGTTAACATGAGGGGCGATCAAAGGGTTAACTGTGTTCTGTGTGCTGTTTCACATTATGTGCTGTGTGTGTGCTTCACTGTAATCACATTGCTTTGTATGGCTCTGCTATGCAGAGCCATACAAAGTAGTGTGCAGAAACTGACAGGGGAGAGATCTGTATTGTTTACATACAGGTCTCTCACCTGTCGGAGATACTCGATGATCACCAGGTGCTGGCAAGTAATTACTGGCCGGGACCCGGTGATTGACAGCCGAGGCTGTGAATGGCGGCGCGGGTAGGATGCACAAGCGCCCTCTACCTGGATCTGCAAATAGTGTGTATATGTGATTTTGCACACCTGTGCCACCCTGTACCAGTATTTCTGCTATAGGGTGCGCAAAACTGGTTATTGTTATCAAAGAATAAACTGATTCATAGCCAGGGGCGGACTGACCATTTGGAAACTCAGGCACTGCCCGAGGGCCCGGGGTCAGTGGGGGGCCCCATGAGATGCCGCTGGTACCTTTTTCATAGGCTTTTTTGAGTTTGGGCAAGGACACAGGGGCCCCATGATCCCCTATTGCCCGGGGGCCCCATGAGTTGTCAGTCCGCCCCTGTTCATAGCTATAGTGTATAAATTGCTCTGGTCCACAGGGGCTGAACACAGGTGAGAGGTGAAGTTGTTCCACAAGCTCTAGGTAGGATTTAGTAAATATAACTGGAAATCTATGTAGCTGCTTATTAAAATGAGAGCAGCAAATTATGTGTCATATTTTAGTCAAACAGTTAATCTGATTGGTTGCCATAGATGGCAGTTCCTCCTTTGGTCTAGTTATTATAAATGAACCCCAAAGTGTATTTTATGCAATAATATACTAAGTAACCTTTAAGACATAACCGCGGCAAAAACGGAAATATTTGTTCTACATCACATCTCCTGTTAACAGGCCAATGTTATTAAATTCATGAGAATTTGTGTCGGAGCCTTTAGGTAAAACAATACATGGAGGCTTTGCTTCCTGTATAATACTGTATACATTACAATATATCTTTTTTGCCCCCCCCCCCCCCCCCCCCGCAGTATATAGGCATTTGCACCTTTTATTTCATCAAGCCCTAACGTGTAAACAGTTTAGCCTCAGGTGTGTAGGAAAGATGCTGCAGATATTAGTTTGGAGGACACAGCACATTATTTTATTACACAATTCTTTCATGTGTAATCTAATTTGCATTCGGTGTTAAACTTCTGCGCTCTAACATGAATTCATAGGACCGAACTGCCCTGCCTTTCCTAAATGGCAAAACTTTGAATTATATTAAAGTGCTACAAAACCCACAACAGTAAAATCAATCTGTATATGCAGTAAAGCATGCGTGTTATACTCCCTGTGGAACCTAAGGGGTTAATCCTCTGCATTGTGTAAAAAGGCTGTTTGATCCTGACTTCTCTGCTCCTCCTCTTGTTCAAATGTCCATACTAATAAGACAGACTAAACCCCTATCATTCTGCACATGCTCAGTTTAGTGTATATTGCTAGAGAGTTTTTTTTTTTTTTTCTTGGGAGAGTGCATGTGATCAGCACAGGGCCCTTTATTTCATCAAGCCCTAACGCGTAAACAGTTTAGCCTCAGGTGCGTAGGAACGATGCTGCAGATATTATTTTGCAGGACACAGCACATTATTTTATTACACGATTCTTTCATGTGTAATTTAATTTGCATTCGGTGTTAAACTTCTGCGCTCTAACATGAATTCATAGGACCTAACTGCCCTGCCTTTCCTAAATGGCAAAACTTTGAATTGTATTAAAGTGTTACAAAACCCACAACAGTAAAATCAGTCTGTATATGCAGTAAAGCATGCGTGTTATACTCCCTGTGGAACCTAAGGGTTAATCTTCTGCATTGTGTAAAAAGGATGTTTGATCCTGACTGCTCTGCTCCTCCTCTTGTTCAAATGTCTACGCTGATAAGACAGACTGAACCCGTAGCCCTTCTGCACATGCTCAGTTTAATGTGTATTGCTAGTTTTTTTTTTTCTTTTGGGAGAGTACATGTGATCAGCACAGGGCCAATCAGCACTGTCCAGACAGAGGTCAGAGGTTTTGCATCCTCCTAGAGCAGAAACAAAACTCCTCCTACAAGCTTTAACCAGTGCTCTGCTGAAGTCACGAGACTGCTCTAACTGCTGAAGAAAAAAGACATTTAGCAGTTTATATTTTCTAAAATAATTCCACTTCCATATTCTGTGTACTGTGAGAGACCAGATATAGGGAATGCAGGGTCCTGGGTTAAGTAACACTTTAAAAGTATTCATTTTCCAATAAAACAAATACAATTGCACTCATTTATACAGGGTGCCCAATCGCACCTGGATATACAGTGTGTACATAAGATACAACAGTCTTGTGCAATATCGCTCTCACCGCTATGATTTCCGAACGACATCATCCACATACACATGCTCAGTTAAGTGTGTATTGCTAGAAAGGTTTTTTTTTCTGGGAGAATGCATGTGGTCAGCACAGGGCCAATCAGCACTGTCCAGACAGAGCTCAGAGGTTTTGCATACTTCTAGAGCAGAATGAAAACTCCTTTTACAAGCTTTAACCAGTGCTCTGCTGAAGTCACAAGACTGCTCTAACTGCTGATGAGAAAAGGTATTTAGCAGTTTATATTTACTAAAATAATTGCATTTCCATGTTCTGTGTACTGTGGGGGATCAGATATAGTGAATGCAGGGTCCTGGGTTTAGTAACACTTTAAGTCAAATCCACTTGGAATGGTTAATATGAGTGCAATTTGCATCATACAACCTGTACCAGCTCTGGTGTAAATGGCTCTGACCATGTGTGGGTTGCTGGGGCATGCCTGAAATAAAAAATGTGATTTATTTTATCTTTTGGGGCCTCTCTAACAGTTATCAGTGCCCATTAATACCAATTGCATTGTGACAGTACACGTAATTACACTCCGGAAGTATTCATTGTATATGCCCCGCCCCCCAATGCACCTCCAAAATGCTGCAACACACCCAGAACAATGAGACAAAACACAGCAAAGCCGCCTCAAGTGATTAGTGTGAATCATCTACTGACCATCAGAGTGAATGTGCTCACACAGCTCGTGTCAGGAATCTGGGTATGACCAGAAATGTGTGGACTGACACAATATATAAACAATACAATTTATTAAAGACTAACAATACATAAACGCAGTGCAAAACATAACACAGTGCAACAAACCAAACCTCCAACAAACAACTATACATACAACACTAAACGTAGTCGGGCAGGCCAGGTCGGTAGCAAACGGGCAAACAAGGTACCAGGAGCAGGCGGGAGAGTGGTCAGGACTAGCCGAGGTCAGTACAGGCAGAGTTCGTGCAGAATCAGGATAGAAGCAAGCAGGATCAGGATACCGGGGCCAAGCGAAACAGTACAACAAGGCACTGACTGCAGGTCTGGCCATTCCTTAAATACACCTCCTGCAATCAGCCTCAGGTGATGGCTGATTGCAGGAGTGAGCTTCTGGTTGCTGAGAGCACCCGCTGGCTAGACCAGGTACTGCAGCCCACAAGGCAGGTGAGTCTCACCACCATTGGCGAGTCCATTCCTAACAGCTCGTCTGAACTACACGGAAAAAATGTTCGGAATCCCCTGCACTCTTCAATCTTTATTCATGGTCAGTAAATTCCATATCACGGTGTCAGGGACAAAGAGGTTAACGCGTTTCACGCTGAAAACTAACGCTTATTCATAACCATTACTATTCATAACTAGGTTAACGCGTTTCATGCTGAAACCACTGAAAATCCCACATTTTGGGTTGTCCCCAGAACAGTAATAGAGAGGTGATCTTCCAATGGGGACACTAATTGTGATGACCCTGGTGACACCACGGGATTGACGCACTTTGGAGGTATTTCCTCTCACTTCTGCTGTAGGGTAAGCAGCAGAGGGACATCTCCCCAATGCAGGTACATATGGCAAAAAAACTGACAGGGGTTATAACTAGTTTTGCAGCCGAAATGTATCAGCCAAAAATAGTCTAATCAGCATTACCTTTGCCGATAGGAAAAAAGGTACCATGCCGAAAATGCACAATTTTTCCGCAATTTTACCAGCAATTTTGCCACAATTTTACCATGGTTAGGGTGCGGTTTTCATAGGTCATGTGACTCAAAAAACTCATCAAAACCATAAAATGTGTGCATTTTTGCTGTGTTTTCA